TCCTGTCGTCAGCCCGGTATCCTGTCGGCAGCCCGGTATCTGGTCGGCAGCCCGGTATCCTGTCGTCAGCCCGGTATCCTGTTGGCAGCCCGGTATCCTGTCGTCAGCCCGGTATCCTGTCGTCAGCCCGGTATCCTGTTGGCAGCCCGGTATCCTGTTGGCAGCCCGGTATCCTGTCGGCAGCCCGGTATTCTGACGGTAGCCCGGTATCCTGTTGGCAGCCCGGCATCCTGACGGCATCCTGACGGTATCCTGACGGCAGCCTGGAATTGTTAACTAACAATACTGTGCTATCGCAGTCCCAAATAGAAATCATTAAAAGTACACACATACATGTACGTACTGTTAGATATCATAATAGTTATAGTTGTTGGATGAGTTACAGTGGGCTTCTCTCCAAGGCCGCCGCCGTACCACCAGACTCGCCATGATGTACAAGATCCAGCATGACCTTGCATGTGTGAGATGCGACGCCTTGAAGCCAGTGTCTGGCAGCAGGAGAAGCCGGAGAGGCCACAGTCAACAGCTCCAGGACATAACTTGCCGCACGAACTACAAACACTATTCCTTTCTTCCTCGCACTATCCGCGATTGGAACGCCCTGCCCACAGACACTGTCCAATCCCCGTCCCTGGCCACCTTTGTCTCGAGGGTGTCCAGTCCGGCCTAGACTCAGTCACGCTGGTGACCTTCGACCCGAGACATGTCAATTATTGCCGGTATCGGCAGTTGGACATTACCGGAAGAAGAAGTTACAAACAAGAAGCCGTGAGTGTGCCGTCGTTACGTCTTGTGATTAAATGTTGGAAATTATTTTTAAAAATGTCAGTTATTAAAAATGTGATCTCAAACATGACTAAGTCCCCTCGGTCTATTATCTTGGCACCGTCCCAATCTATTACACAGTTATTTCTTGTAATGTGGTCTGTGACTAGTACTGCTGACTTGTTTTCTTGTTTCTCAGCTTCTTTCTTTCGTGCTCTTGTGTACCTCCCTGTGTGAACTATGTAACACCTCTAGTGCACTATGCACCAAGTAACATCTAGAGTCAGTGCACAGTAAACCAGTCAGAATTGCCCTAATGAAGATAGCAGACGATCATCGAAACGTCGGCTTGAAAAATAAATGGTTGTGATCAAAGAAATTTGTAATTCATTCGTTTACCAAACTAATGACATTATTTACGGATATTGATATCGCTTTACAAAAATGCTCTGCGAAAGTTGCACAAGCAAAATTACGCAAAGGCGTGTAGTGTGGGCACAACATGTCTTGTATGATACTTTCTTTGAAAACTGGAACCTTACCTTTCGCAATGCTGCCTTAAGCCTATTAGTAAACCAATAGATTATAGTTAGCCTAACAAGTTGAATGTGTTAAAGGTTATAGATGTATGTTTACGGCACACCTGTATAATGTTTCTGCCTCAATTTCAATATGTGCCTCAAAACAATAATTATGTACCGTCAGTTTCCATGTCACAGTAGACCTCTACACCGGGCAGAGGTGAGCCAAGTGTGTAGACTCCACTGGTCGTGTGTCCGGCGGCTTTAAATGCAGCACAATCTGGGGAACGGTAAATAGCTTTTAACAGGGAAAATGTACAATGTCATGTCCGAAATGTTAATATGTCAGACTAGAGTAGTGTCTTGATCTGACAATGTTTGCAAAGCGTAATCCACCAGTATCACCATTTTAAGTCTATAAACAAGCAGCAAAAACACGATTGGCATACCGATATAGAGGAAAGTGAACCACGAGAACAAGCAACTAGCAAAATGTTTAATATCATGTTTGTATGACTTACATAACAATACATGTAAGATTGTGTAAGTGTATTGGCACATGTATGATTGACTATGTGTGCATGTTTGTGAATGTATCCGAATTTATGTGTTGTAGTTCCTGTTTGTATATGTATGTAAGTTTGTATATTCATATGTGTGTATGTATGTATTTGTGTGTTGTTTGTACAATGTACATATAAGTATGTGTGTGTGTGTATGTGTGTGTTCATTGTGCATGCATTTATGAACGTCTATGTGTGTACTTTGTGTGTATGTTAGTGTGTGTGTGTGTGTGTGTGTATGTGTGTGTTGTGTCTGTGTTTGTGTCGGGTGTGAGTTCTATGTATCTGTATCTGTATCGTTGTGGCCGGTATAACCGCCCTTCTGCATAACACACCAGCTTCGCAGGAACGCGGCGCGGTGGCAGCTGGCTATATGGCACCGAAAGACTTGTTACAATGAATGAATGAAGGAAGGAAGGAATTAATGGAGCATGTCTTGTGACTTTTGTCGCCCAGCCCATATGGGCTTATCAGACACCAGAACATAAACACGAACATAAACATGGGTACAGAAATCATAGAAACATAAATCCAAGTCCAAAATAAAAGGTCAGACTTGAGACATCAAATGAAATCAAAGAACTTAATCCAACATTGTTCATAACATAATTGGTACAGAAAAGTCAAAGGTACACAAAGGCAACTCAAATGTACATAAATGCAACTCAACTTATAAGTAAAAATGAACTTAAACATATGAACAACTCACTGGGAAGGAGAAGGAAAAAAACAAAGGGGAAATCGTGTGTGTGTCCTACCAATGTATTATGTAGGACCAATACCAATGTAAGATGTGTCCAATGTGAGTATCTGTGTGTGTGAGTGTGTGTGTGTGTGTGTGTGTGTGTGTGTGTGTGTATGTGTTAGTATATGTGTGTGTGCCTACCATGCCCTGGAAAGGTGACTTGCAAGGAAAGAAGGGAGCTTGTCAGTCAAGACCAGAGTTACTGTGTACAGGGCGGTCTGCCTCTCCATTCTACACTACGCAAGTGAGACATGGACCCCATACAGCTTCACATCCGCTGCCTACAGAAGATACTGGGCCTCAGGTGGTGGCATAATTTAGTTCCTCACACACGACGACGCAGGGCCAACATCGAGCCCTTAGATGCAACTTACATGGGTAGGACATGTGATCCGTATGCCTGCCAACCGACTACCAAGGCACGTACTGTATGGTGAGCTCACCACAGATAAAATGCTCTGTAGGAGACCAGCGCAAGAGGTTCAAGGACCACTTGAAAAGCAACCTCAAGTCCTGCGGCATCGAGGCACAAAGTCTAGAACGACTAGCAGCCGACAGAAACCACTGGAGACAGACATGCTCGACAACTTCAAGACTTCAAAGTCACACACATCCAGCTACGACATGTCGACCACAAATTGCTTTAACATCTGTGTGGACTGTTCCACTACTCAAAAGTAGGGGTGTATCCTGATGCAACATATGCTATGGTGTATTAACAAAAAGGCACAACGCGCATCATCCGGGGCATACTAGCAGACGGCATAATAAACTACACACCAATGCAGCCAACGGATCGTGAGTTGTAGCTGCGAACACATCGGAAATTTTCTAGCGGCCGCCATGCCACGACAACTATGATCGAAACATCTGCTTGAGAAAACCGCACATCCATAAGAGGGTCTGCATGCCCTTTTTCGTTAACCGTTATGGGCTATTCTAATTTACCGTAAATCGTTGCCGGCCCGCTCTAATTCAACGTTAAGCGTTATCAGTATATTCATCGTGAAGCGTTATTGGTCGTTTTAATTCAACGTAAAACGTTATTTGTCATCCTAAATTCAGCGTTAAGCGTTAATGAATAATTCTTTGTTACGCCTAATTTTGCCTTTCAAAGTGCAGGAAAAGGCGTCATTAAGGTTTAAAAATCAAAATTTCCCGGGGGAGAAAGCCCCGGACCCCCTACATTGCTCGCCCTTTGGCGCTCGACTCGCTCTTCTGCGCTCGGTCCCTTCGGCTCTAGCCAGCACCAATTTTCCGTCAATTACCGGAAGTTTGCGGAGAGTTACAGAATCTTTTTAAGGAATTTTTACAGACAAAAATTAACAAAAATCGTGAGTAAAAATATGAAAACATCAGAAGGACCGACAAACTCTCAACACCATGATTTGCCTCTCAGAATGCGGGAAATTGCGTTTTTGAAGGCTTAAAAATCCTAAATTTTCCGGGGGAGCATCCCGGACCCCCTCAGATTGCCTCAAAATCCATCCATCGGTAAAAACTGGGCGCACGAAAAAAAAGTCAAGCTAGGTAGAGCCCTGGTCGATGTCGATTCGGATTCCCCTTTATTTGTGGACGCACTCGGGACCAGGGCAGCCGGGAAACACAGGGAACACATACCTTTAATGCGTGTAAGATGTAAGGTATACATAATTTTGTCAGTGATCACCTTTTCTCACAAAGCGAGATACCAAACCCAGTGCAGCTCGAAAAAAAAGACTGTCAATTTACCGTTAAGCGTTGCCGACCGTCCTGAATTTACCGTTAAGCGTTATCAGCCCTGCTGAATTTACCGTTAACCGTTGCCAGGACCCCCCCATGCAGACCCTCCCATAACATCGACGGAATACATGGCCTGTACCAACAGTCCATCAGAATAAGAACTCCGCTAAAATATTACATGACCTATGAAAATCGCTACGGCATAAAATAAACAACGTACCAAACTAGGTCCTCATGCAGAAAAAGAATCGCGAGTTACAGCTGCGAACACACAACAGTTCAGGCTTCGTCAATGACCTCCGGACGGACTGATAAAATCACTTTTCCATTTCACTTCCTTTACCCATTACTATGGCAACACGGCCTTTGAAGCAGTTGTTTTGTCGAAGGCACCAACATTTAAAATCTCATAACAGTTAAGAACACCGCATTTTTCCATTACCCGTAGCAACCCTTGAATATTTGCAAATAAATAGTTGAACTGGTACCTCCTCCTATGCACTTGACTGCTGCGTCTTCCTTGTGGGTGCAGTCATGGCCTCCCCACTTGGTGATTCCACAGTCCGCCACAGAAGACTCGCTCCCGTCGCAGTTGAGATTGTTCAGGTAGATGTTTCCCGTTCCTCCAGGATACTCACTTCCTTGTGTTGCGACTCCGAGACCATACTTGAGCTGTCTACAGACCACCTCAGCGTCCCTGTCGTCAAACCCGTCATCACAGACCGTCCCCCAGTCCCCAAGTCCGGCCCGGACCTCCACTCGACCTTCCGATAGACGTTGGCCTCCAGCAAGCCGGATGGACACGTCACCTAAACATTTGATTAGTGTAAATTGTTAATGACTGGCTTTTTATGTTCTCTTGTATGAAGGATCTGCGGTTACGTGGTTAAATAGATTCCCATACATACTTTTCACAGTGAAGGAAGAGATCTTAAGTACAAAACAATCCTTTTGTTTGTGGTTTGGTTTGAGGTTTGTTGAGTCGGTGAGTGTGTGAGTGAGTGAGTGAGTGAGTGAGTGAGTGAGAGTGAGTGTGTGTGTGAGTGAGTGTGTGAGTGAGTGAGTGAGTGAGTGAGAGTGAGTGTGTGTGTGAGTGGGTGAGTGATTGAGTGAGAATAAGTGTGTGTGTGAGTGAGTGAGTGAGTGAGTAAGTGAATGGGTGAGTGAGTGAGTGGGTGAGTGAGTGAGTGAGTGAGTGAGAGAGAGTGAGTGTGTGTGTGTGAGTGAGTGAGTGAGTGTGTGTGTGAGTGGGTGAGTGATTGAGTGAGAATGAGTGTGTGTGTGAGTGAGTGAGTGAGTGAGTGAGTGGGTGAGAGTGAGTGTGTGTGTGAGTGTGTGTGTGAGTGAGTGAGTGGGTGCGTGTGTGAGTGAGTGAGTAAGTGAATGGGTGAGTGAGTGGGTGAGTGAGTGAGTGAGAGTGTGAGTGAGTGAGTGAGTGAGTGAGTGTGTGAGTGAAACTTTGAGTACCAACCTGTGCAAACGACCTGTACATTCATCTTATATGATGGGCAGCCGAAGGAGCCCGAGTTCCAGTCTAATGCGCAGGACGCGATGTTAGTCTTCGTTCCACTGCAGGAGACGCGCTCCAGCCAGGTCCGGCTTGAGTGGGTGCTTGTACGACCTGTGCTCACGCTCCCTGTATACCCCAGCTGTTTGCACACGGTCCCCGCTTCAGTCTCAGTCCAGCCGTTGTTGCACACGGCACGCCACTCTGACTTGTCTCCCGGACGGAACTCCACTCGTCCTTCCCAGGGCAGGTCGCCGCCAGCCAGCCGGACAGCTAGCTTGCCTGTGGAAACAAAGAGAAATTTGTGTTTTAACCCTATCTAGACCCGGCTTTTGGGGGGCTTCGTGGGACCGGGGGGAGGGCTCTTTCTCCCCCCCCCCGAACTCGCGAACGGTATGTCGTATGACCACCAAATTTTTATAGGATGGTCTACTAGTGACAATAGATCATAACAGCAATTTTGATGACGTTATGTCGTAATATGACGTGATTATGACGCCATTAATGTGATTTTATTGGCCAAAACCGTCTAGATAGATTATTCCCTAAAAACTTAACGGTATTGAGGATAATATAAAGGATTTTCAAACATGTGACATATGTATGAATAGCCTACCCTTATGAGAGACATTGTGAGAATCTTAATTCTTTCTTGAGTTATTCTTTTAGAAAGTTGGCACCTGCAGTCCCCCCCCCCACCAGAAAAAAACCCGCCAAATTAAAGGGGACCTATATCACTTAAACACACCAAATGCTACTATGGGAGACCTTTTTTAAAATCGTGACTCTTGGCATGTTCAGAACGACGTATGAAAACAGGAAAAACAGGTATACATGCCATGGCGAAGGTAACAACATGTATGCACCTTCACAGACGACCCCTGCGTCCTCCTTGTGTGAACAGTCACTATGTCCGAAGTGAGCAGAGTGACAGTCTCCAAGGCTCGTCTCACTTCCCTCACAGTCCACGCCGTCCAGCAAGATCTTCCCATCACCCTTCCCAAAATGGGCCCCCAGCTTTACCGCCAGGGCCTTCCCGAAGCCGAGCTGCCCGCAGACGACCTGCGCGTCCTTCAGGTCCCACCGGTCATCACAGACGGTCCCAAATGGGCGGGTCCCGACCCGCACCTCCACCCGGCCTTCGAGCGGGGTAGAGCCATCCACAAGACGGACCTGGAAACCTGCGGCGGTACATCAATAATATCATTGACTTTCGGTTTTACTTGGTATGGTATGTCAGCCATTGCTTGACTCCATTTACCTCCCATTCGTGTAAAGTCAAGTGAAATACGGTTTACCCAATAGGCCATACCCAATAGGCCAATATACAAAAGTAATAATCTTCAAGTAGATGTTTGGGTGGCGAAAAAGACAAAGACAGTATCCATTGGCCAGACTTTATCCATTATTTATTATTATTATTAATTAGCCACCAGTACAATGTTTGCAAATTTGTTCATACACCTGGAACTTCTTAGCTTATACCACCCTCTCTCTATTTCTCGAGAGTGTGCACTAATTCGGATTTACTTCTTGCAGAGCAAAAGTTAAAATTAGCTAAGTCCAGGTATCTTTCCATACAATATGTTGTTTTGCATTTTTTGTAAAACCTTAGCTTTCCAGAATATTAATGGATAAACTTTATTTCTGAAAATAAAATAGACAACTCTGTTTTGTGTGATTGTGATAGAGATAGCCCCTTTGGAAGTGATTCTTAAAAGTGGCCATGAAAAGAGCTGGGGTGCTGGGAAACAACATGTCCAAAAGTCTCAGCACTCGGCTTCCAGTGCTGACAGGGGTTTCTCCAGGGTTTAAGGTGCCTTAGCACTTCCAAGGTTGATCCAGTGCTAACGACCGCTTTAGCACTGGTGTTCCCGTGCCGAGGAAGGACGCCCTTTTTATGGGTTCACCACACCACGAAGTGGTGTGGTGAAACCATATTGCTTTTTCTGGTGTTTCTTCTTCTTCTTCTCCTCCTCCTCCTTCTCCTCCTGCCATTTTTTAAATGGATTCAGCTTCTTCATTTTAGGGCCCAAGGTCCTGAAATTTGGTATGGAGGTACAGTGGGCAAATACCCTTAGGCGTTTTTTAAATTTTTGTGATACAGGCTTTTAGAATGGTTTTATTTGAGTTTTTTGGCTGTATTATAGCAAATGTATTACTGTGTCAGTGGGCAGTGTTAACCACATTTGGCATGAGTCATCACAATGGAATGCAGGGCATCAACCAATAGGCATGCAGCTTTCCTCTCTTCTTCTTGCTGATTGGCTGTTGGGATTTAACTTGATTAACACCTGCACAGACCATTTCCACATGCACAGAGCATTTCTTGCTGATTGGCTGTTGGGATTTAACTTGATTAACACCTGACACAGACCATTTCCATACTGACAGTATGTCTGTATTCAAGTGTTTTGGTAGGATTTCAAGCTTTCCTTGCTCCAGCATTGGAATGCGGGGCATGAAACGTTTTTTTTTGAAAATCAACAGTTTGCATTATGCAATTAAAAATCCTAACCAATAATGTAGGGAATAGCTAGCCAACTGTTGTAGTCTTAGTTGTATGTTACTTCATATTATAGTTATATCAATGTAAATCATTGTTTTCCCTTGTGTTTCTCATTCTTTCCCTGCCATGACGTCGTAAAATGTGGTGAACCCATCGCTGTATTTGCTCCAAAGCAAATATTGGCCTTTCTAGTTTCTCATAGTTTTTACCTAATAGAGAAGGAAGTGCCGGGTTCTTACCATGTGCATCCACAACTGACAGCGCTGTGGTTACCGGCAGTGGGCGGCCCGGGGCTGCTGTAGCTCCTGCACCGGCGCAACACTGGAATATCAAACAGAAACGTTCATTTAACATATCGTTGATACATTTTAGGACGTTTGCAACCAGATAGGATCCAACATTTATTCATTCAATCAAATATAAAATTTTCAGGCTGCTATTTAAACGAGTGGGCTATGCTGCGTGATTCAATTATCTCAACAGCCAATCAGCAAGAAGAAAAAATTGCAAATTTCCCGATCAGGCCGTGCACGTAGAAAAGCTGCTTGCCTTTTGATCTTACTCTCCGTGCCTACTGTGCTCATACACCAAAGATACAGACACTGGCCAAGACATAATACATGTATGGCATGTAAAAGAGGCAAAAAAGTCCAAACTGATTTGACAAAATTCCGTCACGCAAGAAACCTTCCCGCGTACCCCACGTCAAACGGACAAGTCCGAAAACGCTTCACTGAAAACGGCCCAGGATTGAAGAAAATATAAAAAAAGAGCTACAATTGGCCCGATTATCCCAGTCTGAAATAGAGCAGACAAGAAAGAAAAACATCTGACAGCGTTTGCCCACTCTACGTCCATGGCAAATTGCATTTGCCGCAGTTATTTAGAACTGGGTTTGTCTTAAAAGAACGTAAACTTGAATAAAATGAAATAAAACAAGTGTCCATAGGCGACAATTCTCCGTTAAGTTTTATATGTTGCAGATTGAGTTCAATATTTCATGTTTACCTGTCCAGGTGGACCCCGTGGACCGGGCGGACCGGGCGGACCGGGCGGTCCAGTCGACGGCTCCCGTTTCCCGAGTAAAAATTCTGATTTACAAATAAAAGTTAGTATGTGGTCAGTTGGAGTGGGCATTTGGGTATCATAATGAACATTAATGAATTCTTGTACATGAACAGAAATACATGAGACTAATTATACAAAGTCATCAGATCCACTCACACAGAAGAAACACATATACACACACATTGTCTCACAAACACACGCACGCACACACACATAGACCCACACACATAAACACACATACATACATACATACATACACATTCACAGACAGACAGACAGACACACACACAGACACACACACACACACACACACACACACACAGACAGACAGACAGACAGACACACACACACACACACACACACACCTCACAGCCAAAAACAACTTAATGTACCTTCAAGTCTGTTACGCAAGGGAACAGTGTTGTCCATCGAGTTCCTCTTGAATCTGCGGTGCACCTCCGCACTTTTCCAGAAGGTGGCGCTGTGATCACGTCGGTATTCGGTTGAGCGCACATCTCCAGTCGGGCCCTTGGGGCTAAGATGCTCTGCGATCTGTTAACAAGATAATTATCTTTCCGTGAACAACTAGAAAAACTGCAAGACAAAGGCACACAGAGAGCGGCACAATTTAACACTAGAGCAAATGCAGCATATTTCCATATTCCTCCCCATATCAAAATGAACTGTTCCAACACTTCCATATCTTTACCACGTGCTCTTCAGTATGGAGGTGCCTAGTTCGTGCAATGCTTCTTAGTGACGATTGTTGTTGAAACCCCCATGAAGTGTTTTTTTAGTATACGTGTTTTTAAACCCCCCATGTAGTGGATGTTTTCGAAATCCATAGAGTGCTCTGCGGTAGAGCCCACATACAGTGCTTTTGGGAAATAGTTTCCTGGACACCCCCTTGAAGTGCTCTTCTCTAAAGTGTTTTCAAACCCCAATGTAGCGCTTTGGTGTGTACCCCATTTTGTGCTTTTAATAAAAGGCGTCTTTTAATCCCCATGTATGCTTTCAAGTATCAAGTGTTTCAATGCCCCCATGTAGTACCCGGATACATACTGTGCTTCTTAGTAACAATTGTTCTCGAAACCCCCATACAGTGCTTTTCAACAAAATCCCTTGAAAAGTGCTTCTAGCAACGATTAGAACCTAGTATCCAAATCACCCAGTATCTGTTTAAAGATGACCTATCCAAGCCACTGTGTATCTGCTTCAAGATTAGCTACACGCGCCACTCTGCATCTGCTTGGAAATTACCTAATTGTGATCCAATTATCTTAGCAGCCAATCAGCGAGAAGAAAGCCCTTAGCAATAAGACCATGCCCTTGCGAATATGGCCATGCAATAGTTTCAGTACATTTTGACCTGAAAACAGTTTAAAAGTCCTAAATTATATAATTTCAAAAGAGTTGTTTTCCCATGGCTACCATATGGTGATAAAACTGCCATCCTAACCTTGTCCTCAGCATCCTTCTTTTGCTTCAACTGCATCTGGAGCATCTGATCCCTCAGGCCTTGCAGATCTTTCTGGAACGCCATTTGCTGTTCCCGGATGGAGGCCATCTCCCGCGCCATGAACAGCAGGGCAACGAAACTCACCACAGCCGCGAGTGCTGACAGTGCCAGGACGATTCCATTGGTCCACCGGGTTCCATTGGGACGTACAGAACCTTCCGGAGCTGCCTCGCCGTTTGGGAACAGCTTCTTGGACGACATCTTCGAGAAACCTTGTAGAAAACCCCACAAGGCCGACAGACAAAGGTGCCACACCTGAATGACGTGTGCACGCAGGTGAGACGACGACGTGGTCGGTCTGGTTTACCTGCAACACATGAGACCAAAGGCATTAAAGTAAATGATGAGTTCATGTGTCCCACGTGTTATAAAGGCATCGAAAACGAGTTACATTTTATAATAGATTGCCCAACCTATGATGAAAACCGACGAAAATTGTTACAACATATTACATGTAAGACCAATGTAACACTACCCCATACAAAGACAGAGATATTCTATATGTTACTATCATGCCCTGTCAACATTTCCACTTATGTAGGCCAATTTGTACACAAATTCCATGACAAAACGAGAAAACGTAATTAATTCCTGACACAATTTATTACTACATTGCATTAATAGAGTTAGATTAGTATAATTAGTGTCTCTCTTTTGTTATACATTGTTTATGAAACAGACCAGATTCCTATTATAGTTAGCAGAACTGTTAGATATTCTCAACACCACCATATGTGTATGTTAACACCACAAACTATGTATGTATCATTTTGCCATACGTTGTACCTGCTACATCTGTTGCGCAATAAAGTTCTTCTTCTTCTGTGTCTAACTAAGACCCTTTTCTCACTAAAACAGAATTGTCCGGGTTGAGTCGAATAGATAGGCTTCGCCCGGGATACTTCAGGTCTGCCCCAACTCAAAGGAAAGTAAAGTACAAGCTAATTTCCAAGCAGATACTGTGCGTCAATGGGAGTCTATATTGGCCGTGTGTATCCGTTGACCTCCCGTTACCGATGACCGAAACGAATGTTAGAAAGTCTGCTAAGATTGATAAGACGGTTCGATGTCGAACGTACGCGGAAAAAGAAGACAAAGAATCAAGGCTGGCCGGCATGACAGAACATTTACAGTGCGCACAACCAAATTAAAGGTTATAGGTCCGTATCTTTGCTGCAATATGCCTCACCGCCTGTCTGTATTTTCTCTGCAGCATTCCAGACTACTTACTATAGACATTCTTATGCTGTCAAAAGAATACATAAAAATGTCCTACCTTGGTAAAAAGGAGAGGGAACAAGCTAACGGTGTTGTCAGGTAGAGAAGACTTTTTAAAGATACCCCCCCCCCCGAAAAGTTACCAAACCGCTTCTGTCGCATCATCAAGTCTTTACTATACAAAAGACTTTTTTCGATATTGGGGACGTGACTTTATGTCCAGTCTTGTTTAAGACTATGCCAATGTATTGTGAGAAGCTGTTTTTCTTTTTTTTCTCCGGAAAATACAGGTGTGGCTGGCAAATACACAGCATGATAGAACGAGACATTTACAGTTCGCATACCCAACTTCATGGTGATACACTCTGATATCTTCCCAGCCTGTCTGTATATTCTCGGCAACATTCAACAACACTTAAACCTTCTTATACTGTCTTTTGTAAAAGAAATCACCGGTACTTAAGAAATGTCCTACCTCGGTAAAAAGGAGAGGGAAGAAGCTCACGGTGTTGTCAGGTAGAGAAGAATTTTGAAAGAAACGCCCCCCCGAAAAGTTACCAATTGAAACCACTTCTGTCTCATCATTTTAAGAAACGAATGTTGCCACTAGAAAGCAGGACACTATGTATAAGACGGTTCGATTTCAGAAGGGACAAAAACAGAAAGAGTCACGGCTGACCGGCATGATAGACCGAGACATTTACAGTTCGCATACCCAACTTCAAGGTAATTCACTTTGATATCTTCCCAGCCTGTCTGTATATTCTCAGCAACATTCAACACTACTTACACATTCTTATACTGTCTTCTGTAAAAAATCACCGGTACTTAAGAAATGTCCTACCATGGTAAAAAGGAGAGGGAAGAAGCTCACGGTGTTGTCAGGTAGAGAAAACCTTTCAAAGATACGCCCCCCGAAAAGTTACCAAACCGCTTCTGTCACAGCATTTTGAATAGGCATGACACCAAAGGTGAATGAGACATTTTTTCTGAGTGTGATATGTTACCAAACTACTACCTCACCAGACACTGTGTCAGACCATTGCTCTAGGTTTTTCCCTTTAAGGCAGTCCTTAGCCCATTTAAGATGTATCAACAGATCCCTTCCTGGAATTTCCGAACGATTAACCCTTTTCTGAATAGAAGTACAATGTTGTATAAAACCCCAGGTGTCAAACCTGTGTGAGGTGTGTGCCCGCAGGTGAGGGGACGACGTAGTCGGCCCGCTTGTTTCGCAGTCTTCGAATATGTCTCAATTCAAAGGGACGTTTTGTGGCAGTGACCAGGGACTTGAGAAGCTAGGCGCCCTGACATAACAAGACATTTACAGTTTGCCTAGTAAGTTCATACGCTCGTACCTTTGCAGCAATAGGTCTCACCGCCCGTCTGCATATTCTCGGCATTATTTAACACTACTTATAGGTATTCTAAAACAGTCTCCTTAAACAAAATAGATGCCCTACCTTTGTAAAATGGGAGAGGGACCAAGCTCACGGTGTTGTCAGGTAGAGAAAACCTTTTAAAGATACGCCCCCCGAAAAGTTACCAAATCACTTCTGTCACAGCATTTTGAATAGGCATGAAACCAAAGGTCAATGAGACATTTTGTCTGAGTGTGATATGTTACCAAACTACTACCTCACCAGACACTGTGTCAGACCATTGCTCTAGGTTTTTCCCTTTAAGGCAGTGCTTAGCCCATTTAAGATGTATCAACAGATCCCTTCCTGAAATTTCCGTAAGATTAACCCTTTTCTGAATAGAAGTACAATGTTGTGTAAAACCCCAGGTGTCAAACATGTGTGAGGTGTGTGCCCGCAGGTGAGGGGACGACGTAGTCGGTCCGCTTTACCCGCAACACTGCAGATCAAACTTCACTGAAGCAAATGATATGATGAATGGAAAACAAAAGCATAACAAGCAGGGAGCTGTCCCGACCTCGGGTATTGGGACTTGGTTCAACTCCTCCCTAGCGGTAACTTAGCTAAGCGGACGAAGGTCTCCTACCTGCCTAAGGAAAACGGCTAACGGCCCGATACTAGTCTGGCTCCGAGGGTAGGTACTAGTATTCACGTTGGTTGATGGTTACTGCTGTACCCAGCAGAGTACGCCCGGATGGTAAGGACACTACGGAGTCTGGCCTTTTTCTAGCTACAAGCAGTGTTTGAAGGATAGTCTAGCTATTCATAACAAAAATGTGCAAACAGACCAATCTTTGTATACAGTACACAGTTCGCAAATATCAGAGAAAAACATAAAACTAAACTAGAATTAGATAGAGATTACTGTAATAGATAGATTTTGTGCCCAAAGAATGGGTTTGTATACAAGTGGTCCTGTCATGTACACATAGTCAGTCTGGTAATCAGTTCAGAGAAAATCCGGGGCGTTGTCAACATAACTGCTCAGAAAAAATTCCACTGTCTGGGTCTTCTTATGTTGTATATCTGTTATGATTTGGGGCGTAAGAAAGTGTTTTGTTACATGGTTCGCAGTCTTTGACTTTGTCTCAATTCGAAGCGACGTTTTGTAGCAGGGACTTAAGAGGCTAGCCTCCCTGACAGAACAAGACATTTACAGTTTGCATAGGAAGATCATACGCTCGTACCTTTGCAGCAGTAGGTCTCACCGCCTGTCTGCATATTCTCGGCATTATTTAACACTACTTATAGATATTCTAAAACGGTCTCCTTAAATAAATGGATGTCCTACCTTTGTAAATTGGGAGAGGGATGAAGCTCACGGTGTTGTCAGGTAGAGAAAACCTTTCAAAGACACGCCCCCCGAAAAGTTACCAAACCGCTTCTGTCGCATCATGAAGTCTTTACTATACAAAAGACTTTTTTCGATATTGGGGACGTGACTTTATGTCCAGTCTTGTTTAAGACTATGCCAATGTATTGTGAAAAGCTGGTTTTCTTTTTTTTCTCCGGAAAATACAGGTGTGGCTGGCAAATACACAGCATGATAGAACGAGACATTTACAGTTCACATACCCAACTTCATGGTGATACACTCTGATATCTTCCCAGCCTGTCTGTATATTCTCGGCAACATTCAACAACACTTAAACCTTCTTATACTGTCTTTTGTAAAAGAAATCACCGGTACTTAAGAAAATGTCCTACCTCGGTAAAAAGGAGAGGGAAGAAGCTCAGGGTGTTGTCAGGTAGAGAAGACTTTTGAAAGATACGCCCCCCGAAAAGTTACCACTTGAAACCACTTCTGTCTCATCATTTTAAGAAACGAATGTTGCCACTAGAAAGCAGGACACTATGTATAAGACGGTTCGATTTCAGAAGGGACAAAAACAGAAAGAGTCACGGCTGACCGGCATGATAGACCGAGACATTTACAGTTCGCATACCCAACTTCAAGGTAATACACTCTGATATCTTCCCAGCCTGTCTATATATTCTCATCAACATTCAACACTACTTACACATTCTTATACTGTCTTCTGTAAAAAATCACCGGTACTTAAGAAATGTCCTACCATGGTAAAAAGGAGAGGGACGAAGCTCGCGGTGTTGTCTAGTAGAGAGAACCTTTCAAAGATAGCCCCCCCCCCCGAAAAGTTACCAAACCGCTTCTGTCACATCATTTTGAATAGGCATGACACCAAAGGTCAATGAGACATTTTTATCTGAGTGTGATATGTCACCAAACTAACAAGTCACCAGTCACACCGTGTCAGACCATTGCTGTGCAGGGCTGTACGGGGAAAGGCAGTATCGACATGAGTACAGCTGTATTAACCACACTCCTATACAAAAACTAATGTTGCCACTAGAAAGTCTGCGTAGGAAGTTACGTCTGTTTCATTTCAGAGGGGGGAAAGGAATAAAAAGAATCATGGCTTCCCCCCATGACATAATAAGGCATTAACAGTTTTACAGTTCACATACCCAAATTGAAGGTCACACGCCCGTATCGTTGCATTAATAGTTCTCCCCGCATGTATATACTAGCAACATTCAACA